GTCCCTATCAGGTAAACCAACCCTTGTGCTGCCAAACTCCAAGGAATAGACTCTTGGATACCTGTGACACACCTAAAGAGAGCATGACACCCTGAATGGACCTGCACATCATCTGGTGACCTGAAAGTAAAGACTTCCCAGAACTGAAGCATCTGATGAGACAGCTTTCCCAAGATATCCAGACCAGGCCTGTTGGAAGTTTGTTACCAAATCACTGAAAAATGACAACACTTCAAGTAATCTCTAATGTCTATGATCTTGATAACATATAGACTTTTTATGAAAAGTGCCTGAGAGTTCTCCCTCCTACCCCTCCTTGTTACTTACATGTGACCTCAATAGATTCCTAATCTATTCCCTCCGGTATGAGACGCTGTACCCAGGAAAGGTATTTCCTGACACTGAGGGACAAAAAGCCTCTGAAAGTAGAAAACCTGACACTTGATCAGCAATGCTTTCAGAGAAAGATCTTCATCAAAAGGAGGAAATGTAAAAAATTATTAAACAGAATATTCAATTAAATAGAGTGTGGAGACCAGAAAGGGGAGCTCTCTTGTCCTGTGATGACAGCAGAGCCCAAGAGGAAGAAAAAGATTCTTCTTTCCTGGCAAGGACTCAGGCAACAAAAAGCCATGGCTGTTTATTTACTATTGCCCTCCAACTTTCTTTTCCCCTCCATAAAAGCACTCGCCTTCCCTTGCTGTGCAGGGAATTGCACATGACTCACCACGGTTGCAGACCCTGAATTGCACTTCTCTGCTATCCCAAATAAACCCATCTTTGCTGGAGAAATAATTACCAGTCTATTTGTTTTAGGTAAACACTCCCAACCAGAAATAATGTCTCTTTTTCCTCAAGTGCTAAGGCCCTTTACATGAACTTTCATCCAAGGACATTCATTTGTCACTTTCTACTTTAGACTGTATCTATTTATAGTTACCACTTATTAAGCTCCTACTACATAACCAAGTTCTGTACTGGACTCTTAGGTATATTTCTTCTGACCAAAAGAGCAACTCTCAAATAGTAATGGAACTAATCTCATTTAAATGAAAAAAAAAAAAAAGCTACCATGTTGAAAGCAGGAAATTCAAACACAGGAAAAATTTCAAAGCCTATGCTATTTTCATGATACCTGCTGCCTTACATGGCTTTTTTCATGGCCCTTGATTTACAACCCAATTGGCCTTATAAATCCCTCATTAGTGGATTCAGTCTAATTTATCTTTGATACCCCTCACAGACCCAGCACAGTATTCTATGCATAGAAAAGGTTTCATATTTGTTAAGCAAATAAATGATCTCTATGGGTCTCAATTCCTCAGCTATAAAATTGGGAGTATCAAAGACTCCCAATTTAATGTGCAGAGATCAACTTACTTGGAAGTGCTTGCTGAGCACTTATTATGTGCTGGGCACTGTTCTAAGCATCTCATTCATCTTCATAAGAAGCCTGTGAGAAGTACTATTATTAAGTCCATTTTATACCTGAAAAAAATTAAGGCACAATTAACTTGTACCCTAGGTTAACAAAGCTTTAAATGGGTAGCAAAACTTGAAATCCAGGCAGACTGTTTCCAGAACTCATGTTCTCAACCAATACGCAATATTGTCTCTGCATGGATTGGGAACCCAAGAAAATCAGCTGAAAAACCATTAGAAATGGTAACAGACTTTCAGAATGTGTTCAGTAACAGAATTAATATGCAAAGATAATATATAATATTATACACACTACATATATACACTGACTGCTTTCAGCTAATCAGACAATTACTAAATTAATCAATGGGATAAAATATCTCAGTCAAAATGAAAAAAAAAAGAAACCAAAAATATCTACAATAAATTTTTAAAATATGCAGAATATACACACCTATAAAATTCTACTGAAGGACATTCTAAAGTGTAATAAATGGATAAAAATAACATTTTCCCAGCTGAGAAGTCTCACTAATGAAAGAAGAGATGGAGGTCTCTTTCTCCAAAATTAATCTCTATATTTAACATAATGTCAATCCAATTTACTTCAAGAGGGAGTGGGCCAGTACAGTAAATGGGCGCTTTCATATAAATTGGTGGAACCTTTGGAGGGAAAGTTGGGATGGTATCTACAAAAATTTTATATGTGCATCTCCTTTGACACAGAAATTCTACTTCTAGGAATCTACCCTGCAGAAGTGCCAACACATGCTACCAAACATAGACAAGGAATGTTCACAGCAATGTTGTTTGTAAGTAAGAAAGAGAGGCAGAAAGAGGCGGAGAGGAATAGAGGACAGGGCAGGGAGAAGGATAGACAAACTACAGGGAAAGGAAATGGCCAGCAATAGGGAACAGATGTTTAGATAATTACACATGGGGATGATATGGAGACATTAAAAGGAAAATGAAAGGTTTAAATATACTGACATTTAAAAAGTCTTAGCTAAACCTCTGCTGTGGACTGAATGTTTGTGTTCCCCCCAAATTCATATATCAAAATCCGAATCCCCAATGTGATGATATTTGGAGATGGGGTATTTAGGAGATATTTAGGTCATGTTTGTGGAACTCTTTTGCTGGGATTAGTGCCCCTATAAGGGACAGAAGAGAGCTTGCTTCCTCTCTCTCCTCTGCCAGCGAGAACATATCAAGAAGGTGGCCATCCATAAACCAGGAAGAGGGCTCCTTATCAGAACCCAGCTGTGCTGGTACCCTGATCGCAGCCTTCCAGACTCCAGGACTGTGAGAAATAAATGTTTCTGCTGATTAAGGCACCCAGTTTATGGTAATTCGTTATATCGAACCAGGCAGTTTGAAAAAGTCTCTAAGGGAAAAATGCAAACTATGTCAACGCAAATTGTAGAAAAGTGTACATAGTATGATCATTTTATTTTTAACGTGGAGTATAATTTAGTGAAGGAGAGATGAAGGTATGCAGGGTGGAGGTTTCCTGTTTTGCCCTCTACACTTCTCAAAGAGCATATATTACTTTTATGATCATTGTTAAAAGTTTAATTCAACAAATACTGAGTCTTGTACCAGGCACTGGAATAGTGAACGTGACACACAGGGGTCCTACTCTCAGGACCTTAATTATCAAAAATCCTATAAAAATCCAAACATGATTTGTTTCTTTTGGTGGAACAGGAGGAGGCTGGTTAATTTGACCAAAGTATTCTAAAGATAACCTGGAATTAGTACTAATAAAAACTGCTAGGAAATGCTCGCTTTGCTGGGACATATACTAAAACTGGAATGATATATTGAAGATTAGCATGGCCCCTGTGTAAGGATGACATCAAGTTTATGTAGTGCTCCATAATTTTTTATTGCGATGGTCGTTATTATTTGAAAAAATTCATCAAAATATACATTTAAATGGTGCATTTTACTGCATGGAAACTATACCTTAATAAAACTGATTTTTTGAAAAGCCAGGAAGGTGATACTGGGTAATATGATATTAAACTTGTTATAAAACTTCAGTAATTAAAATAACATGGCACTGGCACCAAAATATACTGATAGACACATGCAAAAATCTACAAACAGATATAAATATATAATAATTTAATATACCATAATTGTAGCAGTCTAAATCAGGGGTAAAAAATGAACTTAATAGCTTTGTAGCAACTGGCTAACCATTTAGGAAAAGTAATTAGCTCTCCAATTTACAACTTAAACTAGAATAAATTACACATTAAAATTTTTAAACCAAAGCTTAAAAGTACGTGAAGAAAATACAGGAGAATATTTATACAAACTTGGGTTAGTAAAGGCCTTTCTCAGCAAAATACTCTAGCAGAAACCATAAAGAAAAAAGAATAGAGCTGAACGGCCAAAGATGAAAAACTGACAAAAACATTTTAAGTAAATTGGTAAAAACTGTGCAACATAGATAACAGAATTACTAACTTAATGTGTAATATATAAAGAGCGCTTAAAAATCAGGAACAGAAAGACACTCCAACTGAAAAAGGGGCAAAGGTATTAATAGTCAATTCACACACACAAATGCAAAAGGCCAATACATAGAGGAAAAAGAGTTGATTCCCCCTGGGTAATCAGACGTACAAACTGAAACAATATGTTTTGCCCACGTTACTGGATTAAATGTGTATGCAGAGAAATTTTTAATATATCTAGGAAATCTCAACAATCTAGGAGATGAAGTTTTAAGTTATCTTTAGTTTCTCCTTTACATTTTTCTGTTTCCTGAATGTTTTGTAATAAGCTTATCCTTTTAAAAAATTCTAATTTTAATAATGTTAGACAAACATGGTTTTCTCTTCTCACCTCCTAAAATACCTGGTGCAGTGCACTCTAGAAATGCATCCCTAAAAGCCAATCCGCCTTACGAGGTTTAGTTCTCTAGAGGAAACGCGCGCGCGCACACACACACACACACACACACACACACACACACACACCCGCAGGTTTTGCTAATGATCGGCATAGTGAGATCATCATTGGATCCGCCCTTGTGTCCCCTCACCTAGGGGAGAAAAAGGGACAAGCAGGGGATGCCGGGGTTACACCCACTCTCCAATACTGCGGGCGCAGTGCGGCACTGGCAACGCCCGCACCCAGAGGCCAGGAAGAGGGCGAGCCGAGCCGGGGTGGTCCTAACTATCCCTCATGGAAAGAGAATGGCAGCGGAGGACCAGAGTGGATCTAGTGTCTGCCACTGACCTTGGGGAGTCCCCACCGCGCTCGGGTCTGTTTCCCCACCCGTAGGAAGAAACTAACAGTCTCAATCGCCGTGTTGACTCCCTCGGTCCGGTCTTTCCGGGAGCTGGGAAGGACGCCTTCCTCTGCCCGGTTGCCCTTCCTCGGTCTAGGAGCTGCGAGGTCGCCCGCAGAAACCCAACGCCGCAGCAGCGCGCGTGTCGGTGCGCGGGGCTGGCCCGAGGGGCCGACGCGCGGCAGAGGCAGCCACGAGCGGGCGGCCATTAGGCGATCCTCCCTTAGGCTGCTCGGCCGGACCACGCTGGGCAGGAGCTGGGTCTTACCTGGACTCGCACACGCCCGGCTCCAGCCTTTCTGTCGACCTCGCGGCGCCACGGAAGCGGACGAGGGGTAGGGAGGCAAGCTCGCTGCGACACTGTCATCCCTGCGCAGATCCCGGCCCTGGCCGCGCGGGGGATGCCCTTTTGGGGTCCCCGCAGTCCTCCGGCAGGAAGCAGCCACCGCCACGAGCGGGGCCGCAGCGAAGTCCGCCGGCCCAGAAAACACCGCCGGGGTCGCAGGCCCTCCCAGGCTGCGCCAGACCCTGCAATTGCTCTCCGCGTGCCAGCTGCAGCAACCCTAATTCTTTTTCCCTCGCTCTGGAGACGTCTCCGGGGTGGGCGCTCCAGTCATGATGCCAAGGGGGCTGAGCAGATCGTGCGCAGCGGAAACCTTCCCGGTGGGGGCGGTCAGCTCCGTCCCCTGCGCACGCTGAAGGCCGCTGCTGGTGTCGCCTCGGCTATCTGGCCCATGTCCATGGAGGAGCCATCGCCGGACCCTGAGGCCTCGGAGGAGCGGGCGCAGCCGGGTGCGCGCGGAAACCTCACCTCCTGCGGCGCAGCTCCGGCGCGGAGTCCCCTCGCTCTGGCAGGCCATGTGACCTGAGAGCTGGGGAGCGACTGCAGCCCCCAGAAGCCAGCTTGGGGAAAAAAGGACGGCAAAAGGCGCCAACTGCTGGGCATAAAGGGAAAAGCAGGCTCAGGGCAAAGGAAGTTGAAATGCTGGAAGGATTAGGTATCTGCAGTGTTCACAGCCCCAGCTGGCCATCAAGCGTGTTCTCTTAATCGTGGGAGGAGATTTGGGTTTTTTTTTTTAATGTGCATTCTTATTTTTTTATTTTATTTTTTATTATTTATTTAACATCTTTATTGGAGTATAATTGCTTTACAATGTTGTGTTTAGTTTCTGCTTTATAACAAAGTGAATCAGCTATACATTTACATATATCCCCATATCTCCTCCCTCTGCGTCTCCCTCCCACCCTCCCTATCCCACCCCTTTAGATGGTCACAAAGCACCAAGCTGATCTCCCTGTGCTATGCGGCTGTTTCCCACTAGCTATCTATTTTACACTTGGTAGTGTATATATGTCAATGATACTCTCTCACTTCGTCCCAACTAACCCTTCCGCCTCCCCGTGTCCTCAGGTCCATTAGGAGATTTGTTTTTGCCAATAATAAAAATAATAGCGGACACCACTTCCACCCCTAATCCCCACTGTACCCCGCATTATGCCAGATACCGTATGAAAATTCCTTACTTTACTTCTGTACATTAGAGACTGTAATCCCCAATTTGTAAATGAGGAAAAAATATTTGAGAAGGTAATTTGCCAAGTGCAATACTCCAAAAGCCAGAATTTAAAAACAAACAAACAGAAAGGTTTGCTCTAATCAAATTACCTAACCACGCATGGGAATTAGGTCTGTGGCTCTTTCCACTCACCTGTCAGTCTCTCCCAGAAGTGGCTTTGGTGGTTCATTTGAGTCCAAAGCACCCTCAACACTTGATTTTGGCAGATAGATAGTCATACTCATCTTACAGATGGAAAAATTGAGGTTTGGCCAAAGGAATGATCTTGTTCAAGTGACAGAGCTGGTCAGCCTAGCTTAATACTTAATAATGAAGTGGTTATTTGCTGGCACTGTGCAAAACACATAATTCACATTATTTTGGTGCTCACAACACTCTTATAAGGAAACTACTATTTTCATTCCAAGTGAAGAAAACTGAGGCTCAGAGGGATTATGAGTTTGTGTAAGTTACACAGCTAGTAAGTGGCAGAGTTTGGATTTAAATCTAGGTCTTTTTGTCTACGGATGCTTCAAGTCTCCAAAACCATTCTTCCCCTACACTATGCAGCTTCTTGCTCCTTCCATTACTTTTAGGTTTTGCCAGAGAGGAGTGGAGTACCTAACTTTTATCCAGAGGCTCAGGACATAGTAACAGCACCTAGCCTAGTACTGAGCTCATTTGCCAAGGCATCTTCTGGATGATGTGCACAGCACTTACTAAATTGAAGTATTTGTTAGTCAGTGGCTGGCTTTCTGTGTATAGGGCCCAGGCTGTACTATTATGGATTCTGATGCTTTTCCTGAAGAGCACCAGACATAATTTCTAGGGGCAGATCAGAGTTGGGTATATTTCACTCATAACAAAAGCCAAAGTTCTTACAATGGCCAGCAAGGTCCTGCAGGATGTGGCTGGTGGCTCCTGTCTGGCTTCCTATCCAACCACCCTCCCCTTCTGCCCTCTAGCTACACAGGCCCTGCTGTTCCTCCAATACATCAAACACACTCTCACCTTAGGGCCTTTGCACTTGCTGTTCCCCCTGCTTAGAACATTCTTCCTCTAGATTTCCATGTGGCTTGCTCCCTTGTTGTCCTTGATCATCTCGCATATCCCTATTCCCACCCCAGCTCTCCCATCCCTTGTATTCCTCCCTTAATTCTTCTCCACAATGAATGACAAATGAATGATTATGAACTCCTGGTTCTACCCTTTAATTCTAACATATTGCACAGAACATCTAGGAGAGAAAACTGTGCAAAAGTAGAAGAGAATCATAAAGGAAATACCTGAAAAGTGTCTGTAATTACTAATGAAGGGCTTTCATGCATTGAGAGAGATCATTGCTGAGCTTCACCTCTCAAAAATCATTTATTTCATAGGCCACAGTGGTTTAATAAAAGATCCTATACGTAACTAGGTGATAGCTGAGCAAGATAACTTAGTGTTTACTGTGAAGGCATTAAGTATTCACTAAGTATATTATAAATGTTAATTTAAATTGTAGTTGAAGATGTGATCTATCATAATTTGTAACTTTTATTTCATTCACATATCATGAATGAAATGACCAAAAATCTAGGCACTTCTTAAAAGAGCAGTGAGGTCTCAAGCCAACTCCATATCCAAATGAGCACTGCAGAATATCCTCCCCTCCTCCCCAAAGGGGCAATGCACAGATGGACCTAGGAGAAGATTTAAGAGCCTGACTAAAGTTTTGTTGAGTGAAGAATGTTTGTTAGTGTCATCTGAGAAAAAAGAGGCAGGCTATAAAACAAAGAAACCTGTGTTTCAGGGATCTTAGGATCATAATTTGGGTAGCACAGATTCCAGCAGTAACCAGGACAGTGTCCCATCTGGGGAACAAAAAGCAAGGGTTTTTAAAGGAAAATGGAAAAGTGTATTTGTTTTACATAATTTGTTTGCCAAGAGATATGATTGGAATGTATATATATTTTTTTCTGTTACAATTTATTGGCTTGTCAATGATGTCTCATTTGTTATTAGTTAAGGCACATTTTTGCACAATTCTTAGGGATTCCTTTCCGAGCAAATAATTTTTTTCCCAGCAGGGTAAACACAATTCACAGTCTAACAAAATGGAGTCCTAAAGTACAAAGTGGAGTTATTACTGACAACTCCTTCCACATTTCCCCCTTTGGCTCATGATTTTTCCTGACAAAATGTCAACAGAGCACCATTAGTTGCTCACGGCCAGAGTGGTTTGATTACCTGCTCCGGTTCCATCTAGTTCCTCAGTTGTGGGGGGGGAAGGGTCTTGTGAAGGCATTAGCAATAATTTCTTCCAAACCTTCTGATTCATAAAGTCTGTCTCAATGAAGAACATCTAACATAGTCATCTGTGCAAACATAACCTGGGTAGTTAAGCAAGTTACAACAGAGGTTATAATTTTTAGCAAGCATTTGGTTAATATAACAATGCATATTATTAAGATAAACAATAATAATCCAGTTTGTAATACTGTTCTTAACCATGACCCTATTCCTGATGGTAACCAACTAGAGAGATCTAGATAATCCTCAGGTTTTGGTGTGTATCCTATTTCAGCCAGCAGATTGATATTACCTTTTATTACCTTTAGTTCTTGTGTTACTTTGCCAGACTGACTGATATAAAGCAACATTCTTCCCCTAGTAATGCACAGGTGCCTCCTGTTGAACTGTCACGCTATTAAGTCCCCTTCTATTTCGTAGCACAACTTCTGCCAGGCTATCAGTTTGAGTTTCATGATATTCAAATGCTTAGAGAGAAGCATTGAAGGGGTTGATCATAACTTTGGATAACTGTGTATTGCTTTTTCTACCGCAAACCAAGGGAGGAAGGCCCTGGCAAAAGCATGACCAAGCCATTTCTGTCTACAATTGGGTTATTAGTTGGCATATATTCAAAATTATAACCTTCTCAGCTTCTCCGAGATCTTTTTAACTGATATGAGAAAGACCTTAAGTTTGGTATGTGAGCAGTAGAGGGAAGGGTCTTTCTAACAGTGACATCAAGGGCAAGAGCAATGATTCCACAACACGCTTTCCATTTAGTAGGAAAAGTTGAGTAAATATTTGTGCTACACATACTAAATGCCCAGAACCTTCTAGGGACAAAGAATAAGTAGGTTCTTGAACTGAAATTCTTTTATCAGTTTCAAAAGAAGAAATTTCATGGTCAAAAAAATTCATCTTCACTGAGTACATGATAATCTGGTTGACTGGAATTCTGTAAGTGGCTGTAAGAACATCTTATATTTCTATATGCCTGAAGTAATAAATGAGTTTATTATGGATCAAAATTTTGCCTAAGATTTGGGGAGTCTCCAGAGAAGAGGTAGGTGGAATTAACTTCCCACCATTTTACAGATTTGTGATAGATTCCCCACATTGTCCTATTAAGGGGGAGTACCTCCGTGTCCCAATATCCAGTTCTGTTATAGATTTCATTGCGCTACCACAAGGATTCATTGTGAGAAGTTACATTTTAGTCATGTAGACTCCAAGGAGGAGTGAACTCAGGATCATCTGAATCATACGAGTGTATAGGCACAGACATGCAATGGAAGGTAATATAATGTTTTACCAGTACCATTTATATTTTCAAAACATAGGGAAGTATTATGAGTCAACATCCAGATTCGAGTAAGAAGTATTCCTTTATGAGCAGGGGAAACCCAATGGAAAGTAGTAATATCTGGGACATGTCTCCCAGAGGGAAGGTGATGAGTGCTTGCTTTCAAAGATACCAAAACAGAACCCTACATTTTTGTTTGTTAGGGCCTTCCATTCCCCTGAGGACAGAGGTCAATCCACTAATTCTGGAGCATCATGAGTGTGGTTTGCTCTAGCACAAATCCAACAGTCAATAAGATTTGCAAAATCAGAAAGTTTCTGCAGGTTAGAAACAAAAGAGTGCAGTAAAGCATCCTTATCAGCAATGAGGGTCACAAGAGAAGATAAAAGGCCAAACCAAGAGTTAAAATTATTCCTAATAACAAAAGTCATTATAAGGAGAATCTAAAGAGGGGTGGTTCAGTATGTTGGCCAGTATATGAGTACCAGGAAAAAACAGTCAACAAGCAAGGCATTCAAACTGCAGGGCAATATAAAGGCAGCAAGTTCCTCTGATTTCATGGGGTTTTACCACCAACTGAGAATTCCTATTGTGTGTAGTAAGGCAAAAACCATTAGAATACCTATTAAGATAAACAGCAGTCCAAATACTTCAATCCAACAATGCTTCATGTCCAGTTTTCCAAAGAATTTGTGAGATGCTCTTTAAATTAAATATCAAGCATAAGCCTTCACTATGTGCAAGGAGGTCCATAAAAAAGAATACAAGAATACAGGTTATAAATGGTAATGTGTTTATAATATGTAGAAAATTCTCCTAGTAGAATAATTAGAAAGGCAATAGCAAATCAACAAATTGTTCTGAAAA